AAAAAAAAATGCAGGCAAAGTATTTTTCGCCACAAAAATGCCGCAAACAAGTCAAGTATGCTTAGCATGGGATGGATGCAAAAAAATTAAAAAAATTTAAATAAATTCAAAAGAGTTGTAAAAAGCCTGTGAAACTTACCATAAAAACTGCTTTCCCCTTTAATGGACGAGCTTCAATTGTGCGCAAGCGAACAGTAGCCGATTTATGCTGGTGTGTGTGTATAGATATGTATGTATGTATGTATATGTGGTTATGGCGACAGTAGACAAAGTGACTGACGGCGCTAGTACTTTGTTGCTTGTTGCTGTTGTGCGAGTTGCTTGTTGCTGTTGTGCGAGCTGCTATTTTTATAGCAATTTTTTCCCTCTCACTGCTGCGTTATTTTTTTAGTTGCTGACACTGGCGGCGTATTTTTTGACTGCATGCAAATTTACTTATATATGTATTTGATTGCATAGACATTATTTGCGTGCTTTAATTTTTGCAGCAAGAGTTGGTGTTCGTTTACTTTTTAGTTTTTATGCTGCTGGTAAGCCTTTTGATATTTCTTCGTCGTTTGACTTTAGTTGAATTTTTGCTGCTTATACTGTATCCATGTATTTATATTTGTTTGCTTTGCATATTTTTAGGCGCTGTTTTTATTTTTTGTTTACTTTAAATGGCGCATTGCATGCAGTGCAGCCACGCTTATAACTTACGTTTTATTTCGTGTTGTTTGTTGTTTTTTTTATGTCTGCTACATTGTCTCACCGCATTTTTAAGCTAAAATAACGGAATTTTCATGCATGCATTTCTTTAGCGATTATTTAAAAATAAGAACAATATTTGTATTTCCGCAATGTTTTTTGTCAACAAAACTGCAAAATAAAAAGAAGAGAGAGAAATTTTATTTACGTTCTAATATTAAATTTATCATAAAAAATAACGAAATGAAATATTCCGTTAATGTTAGTATTTTTTCGGTTGAGAAAATCATTTGCACCATGGAGTTCAATTGATAATACATATAAGCCAAACTCGTTCATTTTTATTACACAAGGGAAAATTTATACGTGCTCCATACCAGCGATAGGATCCTAGAAATCACCAACTAAACCTAATTGCCTAAGAGGTGCGCCTAAAAATATGCAACATTGGGTTGCAATATGACACCAGCAACCGGATCTCCAAAAGAATAGCAGGCGCCCCTAACAACACGCAACATCTAGTTACATGCACTCCCATACTGCCAGATTTGGCTGTTTACACATTTAATGCAGGGACATAACAGTTATAAGTTTTATAGCAAAAACGTTGCTCCATAACAGTTATTAGATGAGAAATATTTTTTATTTCGTCGATAAGACCCAACCCAATAACCCAACGTTTATTTTTTACGTTGCCTGATAACTGTTATGCAGGAGAAATATTTTTCCCGTTGCCGATAAGAGTTATTTCCCAACGTTTATTTTTTACATTGCTGGATAAGAGTTATTTTACAACGTTTATTTTTTACGTTGTCTGATAAACATTGTAAGATTAGGATATTGATGAAGATGGAGATGGAGAATAAGATAAAGATGATGAAATAAAAGTGAGAGAGTGAAATAACTATTATCAGATAACGTAAAAATAAACGTCGGGCAATAGCTGTTATCACGCAACGTAAAAAATAAACGTTGGGCACTAACCTTTATCGACCAACGTAAAAAATAAACGTTGGGAAATAACTCTTATCAGCAACGGAAAAAATATATCTCATCTATTAACTGTTATGAAAGAACGTTTTCGTTAAATTTTAGAATTCAGGCAACGTTTTCAATTTGTAAATTCGAGATAACAGTTATTTTTGGTCCTTAATTTAATGTGTTACTCTTCCATGTTGTATACTTTGAGGCCCCACTGCTTTTTGTTTAGAGAATTTTAGCGACCAAAATTTTACGTAGCGATTGTCAGAATTGCACCGCAGTATTGCGTTACTGAAAATTGCTAGGTTAAAAATTGAATCTCCAAAATTCTGCATAGAAAAGCAAAATTGTTTCACCTATTGCCAGAATTTCTGATTTTTTGTTGAAACACATACTCTTCAGGGAACAAGAACAAAAGGTATGATCGAAACTGTATGTCGTTCCCGTAGTTTTGTTCCCAAGAACGCTCCAAAACCAAAGCCAAAATGAGAACAAGAACAGTTGAGAACATTTTCAATGGGAATTATATAAGAACAAAATCCTGTGGCGCGTTTAAAAAGAGTGCAAAATGCGAAAAATACTTTCATGAACATTTCTAAGTGAATAAAATGCGAACAAAAGCCTCTGGAACGTTATGGCAAAAAACTAAACGGGAACAATAGTCTAAGGAGCTTTCTCTCGGAGAACAATTTTGGAACTAGAATCCCAGGAGCTTTCTCTGATTCTTAACGCTAAGTTCTCAAAACTTTTGTTCTCGTTTTGTTCTCTAGCAGAACGTTCCCCAGACGTTTGTTCTTATTTCATCCTCCTTGAAAACGTTTTCGATACTTTCGTTGTCATTTTGTTCTCATAGGAAACGTTCCCGAAAATTTCATTCACATTCTGTTCTTCTTGAGAACGTTCCCGAGAGTTTTGTTCGCATTTAGTCCTTTACGGAAACGTTACCAAACCTTTTGGTCTCATTTTGTTCCCGTTTGGTTCTTTTGAGGGAACTTTCTTAACATTACATTTTGTTCAAATGCAAAATAAAATCAAAACTGGAACACTTTCTCGGTCCTTGATAATCGTATATGATCTTTATTTTTAGGTACTTCGAGTTTTTATTTTGAAAATTATTTCAGAATGTCACAGCAAGCAATTAAAGCTGTGTCAGAAATATGAAATATTTGTGAAGAAATACTGCATAGTTTTAGGCTTGTACGTAACCCTTTGTCTGCCGGCCGGGTCCAGTGGACCCGAATGATATTTTGTTGTATTCCCACATCAAGTCGTTCACTTTGCTTATTTTCATGTACTTGTTTAATCATGGTAATTTTTTTAAGTACTACCTTGGAGTCCAATGGACCCGAAAGGTAGGTAATGCTAGTTTTTTCCGCGCTAGATAAAGGATTAAAGAATGGTTGAGTGCGTTAATTAGCGTAACGTATTCGAAATTCAGGGTATTCGAAAATTTTATTAAAAATGTATGCAAGAATATATATATAAGTAAAGTGTTTTGCAAATGGCGAGGATAGATAGACATACGTCACTCAATCACTGGACCCGATGGCGTATTAACAAGCCATAAACGGCATTCACAGAGAGTCCTTTATCCCCTTAAAAGTCTCTCATCCTATGAATAACTTCAATGGGAACATGGGAATATTAGTCCCACGACATCAACCACCTTTTCATCTGCCCATTTAAATCCTAGCATCTAAGAGCATTCTTTCTTTGGTTCGTCCTCGTCGAAACCGTACCTTTCCTGCGCCTACCGTTGGTTCAGCGTAACGACAACGATTGATGGACTAACCGATTTAGTTAGGGCTTAGTAGTGCCACTACAACAAAACCAGCACTTTTCATAAGTAAATTGGAGTAGTGAATGTGTATTTTCCGGCAGAACATAATCTTGCATAGAACACATATCAGCAAAGGCTTTAGAAAAACAAGTAATTTTTAAGCAAAATACACAACCGACTTCAATTCTCATACGAGAATTTAGGGAAATTAGTATGTGTCCAACCTTGAGATACCCCCTTTCCGATAAAAAAAGAATTCGAAATCGGTTCAAAATTATGCGGTAACATACATAAAAAATAAATATTCCGACGAATTGATAACCTCCTCCATTTTTGAAGTCGGTTAATAAAGCTACCTTGTGCACAACCCACCGGCCAGAAGAGCTATTTCTGGTACCTGCCGCCATCCGCTTCAGTTCTTTCTATGGTAATGGGCTATGAATTACGGGAATGGAGTGCAGTGGATGTTTCATCAGTGCATTCATCGATCCTGGATTGGCCGGGCGAGAAATGAATGAAGGACCTATAAATAATACATACGGTATTTTACTGAAAGGTTCAGTGAACCTACCTGTGCTAGCTTGCCACGGGCTATTACCGCTTCGATTCTAGTAAAGTATTTTAAACTGTACAAATTTTTTATTTTTTTTTTAAACGTCAGTTAGGCAACTCGAGCTCTCAAGGCCTCATTTAAGGCTATATCTTTGAAATGAAACGAGGTCATTTACTCGAAACTAAAAAGTTTTATTTTATAGTGATTTATTATATTAGAAGTATTCATTTAAGGTTGCAAACTGCCGATAAACGTGTTAAAGTTATAAATTTGTTATCACGTAATGTAAATACCGCTATTATTGTCTTAGCAAGTAGACACATTTTTTTTTGCTTCGATATCAAACTTGTATTTGTGTTGATGTTACGTGAAGCAAAACTGGAATTGAGTGGACAATATCGCACAAACGATCGAACAATTTTTGGTTTTCATGAAACAAGACAATCTCCGCACGATATCGTACGGACGATTGTCGTCATACGTGATTCATGTCCTGTTATTGGCCCGCAAATGGTCCAATGTTCGTTAGAAAGGTTATTTTTCAGCAACATTTTATTGAAAGGAGAGGATCGCATTCCTTACAAATATTACAAATATTTATTAAGCAGTAAAAGGAAGCTCAAGGTGAGAAAATAAAATATTAAAAAATAGAACAATAAAAAAATGTTCACTATTACCTAGTACTCCGTATTTCCATTGGAATTTATTGCTATATTCCTTAACTTTGAAAACATCAATACAAACTATTTTATAAAGAAGA